CATGGTATACAGACATACCCGCGGGCAGGACACATACACACTGTTCAAATCCAAGTGAATCAAAGACCTCAACACAAAACCATATACACGGAAGCTGTGAGAAGAGAAAGTGGGGAATAGCTTTGAACACACTGGCACAGGAGACAGCTTCCTGAAGAGTGCACCAATCCTGCAGACACTAACATCAACAATTAATAAACGGAACCGCATGAAAACTGAAAAGATCCTGTAAGGCAAAGGACACCATCAATAGGACAAAATGGCAGCCTACAGAATGGGAAAAGATTTTTACCAACTCCACATCCGACAGAGGGGTAATATCCAAAACACTTAAATGAACTCGAGAAACTAGACATCAACAAACCAAATAACCCAATTTAAAAATAGGGTACAGACCTAAACAGAGAATTCTCAACAGAGGACTCTGGATGAGAAATGTTCAACATCTTCAGTCATCAGGGAAATGCAAATCAAAACGATTCTAAGATCCCATCTTACACCTGTCAAAATAATTAAGATCAAACTCACAAGTGACAGCTCACGCTGGTGAGGATGTGGAGCAAGGGGACCATTGTTCCATTGCTGGTGGGAGTGCAAACTTGCACAGTCACTTTGGAAATCAATACGGCAGTTCTCAGAAAACTGGGAATAGATCTACCTCAAGACCCAGTGTACCACTCCTGGGCCAAAGGATGCTTCCTTCATCTTACCACAAGGACACTTGCTTAACTCTGTTCATAACAGCTCTATTCACAATATCCAGAAACTGGGAAAACTGCCTAGATGTCCCCCAGCTGAAGAACAGATAAAGAAAATGTGCTATATTTACACAATAGAGTATTACTTGGCTGTTAAAAAACAAAACAAAACATGAAATTTGCAGGCAAATAGATGCAACTAGGGAAAAAAAAAAACCAAAACATCCTGAGTGAGGTAACCCAGACCCAGAAAGACAACCGTCGTATGTACTCACTTGTAAGTGTGTATTCATTTTAAAGTAAAGGATGATCATGCTACAACCCCATTTGGGGATCGAGGCAGAAATCTGGTGCAATGGAAACTCCCAGGGATCTACGAGAGTGGCCCTGGGGAGGTCTCCGAGTGATGGGTGATACAGGGCCCGAACTGTCCAGTGGAGGGACTGGGACACCGACACAGCCACGAATCCCTTGACCTACAATTTGTCCTGCCTGCAAGATGTGCTGGGGTAGAGGTGGCACAGAACTTGTGGGAGTGGCCCGTGCTGACACTGCCTGGATGGCCAGGAGTCCCCGGGGACTCCATGCTGTCACAGAGCATTGCTCTGTTTGTTGCCTTCCTGATTCCCACACCCCTTGTAATACATGAGTTGTATGAAAATTCTAAGGAGCTTCCAACCCCTCACTGGGCGGCGCCACAGGCACTCACGGTAACAATGCTCGACCTTTCGGGCATTACTGCCGGAGAGAAAAATGATCCAGTCACCACCCTTGGTGACATAGACTGTTAGCAATGACCAACACCCTTAGAAAGAATTCTTAAAAACAGATTGCTTAGTAAGGCTAAGTGTAGATGTTTTTGTCAGTGGCTCTGATGTAGAAAATCTTAGGGAACAATCTGAAGTTCAGAAGGACACACTCCGATTTGAGCCAGGGACTTTTTGAGGTCAGGGAACAGGAACAATGGCCGTTTGACATGACTCTCCCAAAAGCTGGGCTGGTGACCAAGGTGATGATTAATTTCTTGTACCCACTGTTGCCCTCAGCTTCCTGGTAAGATTTAATAGAGATTGTTAATGAGTAGATGTGCACTTTGAGGATTAAATTGGGTGTTTTGGAGTTTTTTTTTTTTTAATATGAAAGTTTAGATTTGTGACTCTTTTAAGATTTTTGTAAGATTACTTTTTAAGATAAAAAATAAAATAATTGATTCTTTCTTTGTAACCCCACAAATTGCAGCCCGGCAGTAAAGAGAAACTGGCAGAAAACTTGACCTTGCTTGCTTACTCTTTGTGAATCCATAACAAGTTGCTTAGTTACAAATACATTTGGGTTTTGGGAATAATTTATTTTTCACCCATAATACCTAAAACACTCGATCATGTGAGGGTATTGGGGAACATGTCTTTATATGCACTCATTGTAATCATTCACTTAAAGAAAAATAGAATGAAGCCACATTGTGATTTCTGAACTGCTTCAAAGATTTTGCTGGGATATATAAACTATAGGAGAAAAAAAATAAAGTCGTTGGAGTTTGCTCCATCCACCCAATGTGTGAATGTGTGTGTATGTATGTATACATGTATGTATGTATGTTAGGTAGGTATATGTGTGAAGTCGTTGGAGCTTGCTTGCTTCGCTTCATCTATCGTGTGTGTGTGTGTGTGTGTGTGTGTGTGTGTGTGTGTGTGTGTGTG